ATGGTACCGCCATCGCGAGTGCGCGAGCTCCTATCAGAAATTCGTTGCGCCGCCCTTGGGGGCAAAAAACTGTGAAAGCTAACGTACGAAACCAGATGGCAGCACAGGATGCGATCATACTATGCTGCCTGTAAGCAATCTCCCAACTCATCTCTGGTAGTGACCAGAAAAGTAATGAAAAGTTGGGCAAAGGATGTATCAAACTTTTAACCAATCAGAAAGCCCAAAATGAATAAGGGCCCATCTAAAAATTCCCAGTGATTCTAAAGTATCTTAGAACACGTCCATTGTTTGATGTATAAAAAAATTAATTGTAATCAACAAAGATGAGAGGGTCTATTACGTAAAGCAAATTGAGCGAAAATGTGAAAAATTAGTAGCCCACGTTAGTACGGAACGTTTTTGGTGGTGAAAATGCGAGACCATTCATATGAACTGGCTCGACACAAATTTTTAAGCGAAATGGTGAAGCATACAAGAAAAGATAGAAAAATAAACGCCGTGAACGCCATCTTCCACGGATTGCGGCACCGAAATTCAAAATGGAAAACCTCCTGGGTGTTTTGATTTTTCGCTCGATCTTTCATATAGTGAATACGCAATTCGGCGCATAAACCCATGTGAGATGAAAGTGCGAGAAGTGAGCGCTCTCGTCAAAAATACGCAATAAACGCCCAGTTCGGAGATTGTTTACGAGCAGGGTCACGCCATCGCGTCCTGTTCTGCCCTCGGTGGAGAATGCGGACGGCTAACGCACTTGTCACGTGATACCCCCAGTGGCGGCCCAACTCAGGGATCCTCCTTATTTCTGCTCCCATCTCATTCTTGAGTTGGGCCGCTACTGGGGGGTTCAAGTTGTTAGTGCGTTAACCGCCCACATTTTCCACTGAACACAGGATGATTATCTCAGGCACCAGATGACACTATTGGTTATTATTCCTCCTTGTCGCATTTGGGGAGAAACTCTTTCCGCTCATGCGAAGTTCTGTAGAATTTACTGTATGTCATACACACAGAATGGTCATACATACATAATTATTCGAACGTATAATAATGAATATCTGTTTTTTGAATTAATTAAAGAATTGCTTTTATTGCTCATATTTATAATCTTAATTGCGAAGTTAGATCACACGGAGATAGCCTTATACAACTGAATGTAATGTGTGTTTATTGCGATAGTAAAAGCAACAAAGGCTGACTACTTGTATCAGGTATTTTCTTACGAATTTCGATTCCACTCTTTTTGGTCCCAACCATCAATGTAGTGGTACGTTTTATAAAAAAATATAATGAGATACTGTAATACGTTGAAGTCTTCTCGGTTAAAGAACAGTACAAGTTTTCGACTGCAACAGTAAGAAAATATTTATATAGTATATGTTTTCAATGAGAATTCAAGAAAATGTAAATATCAAATACATACCTTTACTTTGGGATTTACTCCACCGCTCTCTTTGATTCCATTTTCTAGGTCTAGTTGCCTTCGGCTCTTGAACAGCTTTGCTATTTTTCCTAAAAACAAATGTTTTTCAGTAACTACGATTGTTACTTCTAAATAATAGATTTAAAAGTAATTATATGAAGGCAAATGTTTTGTTTTTTAAATTTGCAGTAACAACCACTAACCAGTCTTTGTTGGCACAGATGTAACAACATCTGTATCACCTGCAGAGGATATGATTTTTTCAATTTTGTCTGTAGTATTTTCTGTCTTGTCTTCCTCCTTCGCACCTTCAATATGTCCGTCTACTTCCTCAATTTCTTTAGTAATTCCTTTCGATATTGCAGACTGGGACTTCTGACTGTTTGGAGACTCTTTTTGTGTAGTTTGTTGTTCCTCTTCTTTCGCAATGTTTTTGACCTCTGTATTTTCAATATTATTTTCTGCGTCCTTTGATTCCAGTAAATCCTTCTGATCCACCGACAGAATTTTGGGCGTTTTTGGCGATGCTAATTCTATCAACGAGGAAGCTGCTTTGTCTAAAGAACAGTTATCAATGCTTCCACTCTTCAGTCGTGGAGGTTTCGGTGGAGGTATAGTTGGCGATGATGGAAGATCGTCCTTTACATTCATTGCTTCTGTGTCCTTCATTGCTGAGTCTTTCTCTGCTTCTATGAGATCTCTACTTATGTCGGAGCCTGAAAAACTCTCACTTATTGCGGATGTAATTCTTTTCACTCCATCTGTGTTGTTTTCGATGTTCAGCGTTTCTTCGATCGTATCAATAATATCTCCGTTGTTATTACTGAGTATTTGTTTTGTAACTTCCAAGTTTTGCTCCTCTTCTTTACTCTCTGTTGTCATTTCAATAATGTAATCTGAAAGTTTCTTAGGGCTTTCAGGTTTTTCGATACAATTTACGGATTCGTGAGCATTTTGGACGGTATTTTCTAAAACATCTAAAGACTCTTTAATTTCAGACTCTATGTTATTTTCTCCGTCGCCTTGTTCTGTATTTTCTGTCGTCACGTCGTTCTTAAACCTACCAACAGGGACTTTTAAAGGTGGTAAGCTTTTTTTCTGAATGAAAGATTCCTGAAAGGAAACATACATATAAGTGTAAGACCTTTCAACTTTAATAATATTTTTAATAAATATTTAGTATATTACCTTTTGAGCATTTTCATCTTGTGTCTCTGTCTCACGTTTTCGTCCAACTAGAATAGTGTGACATCCTCCGCAAGAAACCTGATCGGAGAAAAATAATATATAATTATTTTTAAACCACTCGCTTTGCATTAAAATTCATTACATCCGTTTAAGATTAATTACATCCGTTATAATTAATTCTTGATATCGGTTAGCCAGTGTCAGTTCATGAACATTATTTTCATTTTCTTCCAGACCCAGTTTCCCATATCGACCGTCACCACAAGTGAACAGCTTCCCTGATTCTGTAAGGGGTTAAAATGTTTTACCATGAAATTCCTTATAAATTCAGTTACGTTAATAAGACAAATTTGATACCTGTGATAACAGCACTATGGCTTTCTCCACTTGCCACTTTCGTAACCCTTTCATCTTGAAGTGCACCACGGGGGAGTATTTTCGGAGTTGGGATCTCAGTTACATTAGTACCCATTCCTAATTGGCCACTTGCATTGCTTCCAAAGCAAACTAAGTTACCGTTTTCTATTAAATACCCAAAATTACACATTTAACACCATAAGTCAGAATATTATCACCTATTCATATTAGCAGTAGTTCATTTCAAATTTTATGTATCATGAATAATATTTTGAAATTAATTACCATCAGCCTCCCTATTTCTAATTCTACTGTGTATGAAATTTGCCTTAAATATACCATTACCAGCTAAGACAAAAGTGTGATGTCCTCCACATTCTACACTGAAAGCTGGACCAGGCAACTGTATCTGCTTGGGCATCGATAAGGTAGAAAAATTAGTGACTATTCCAAGTTTGCCGCTCTCTGATTCGCCGCAGACGTAAACCAATCCACTTTCTAAATGAATGAAACATCGACAATACTTTTACAGATTAAATGAGCTTCTACGGAGAGGTTGAAAAAAAGCTCGCTTTGGATGTTACCGGTCAAGAAAGCCGAGTGATGATACCCAGCACTGATCTTTTTCACCGGTTCCGGGATGTGGATCTTCGTCGGAGTGTTCACGGAGCCGGAAACCTCAGAAAGTCCCAATTGGCCATCTTTGTTGCTGCCCCATGCTAAAATACCTCCATCGTTTGTAAGAGCCAACGAATGGTGGGATCCTGCGGCCATTTGTACCACTCTTTGCCCTGCTAATCCGCAATCATAGATTGGCACTGGAGAGCTGGAGGAATCTCCAATCGTCTGGTCTCCTCTTCCTAGTTGACCCTCTTGATCACTTCCGCAGGAAAAGATCTTCTGTCCGCCTGTATGAAATAACGTATATAAGTGCACGCCTCAATATATTTATATATTAATGTATCGATTTTTTTGTCCTCAGCCATTTCACAATGTACTCTATCGCAGCTGTCCATCGCAACGGTGATCAATGACGGGCACTCTTCACTTACTCATATTCCATTTACGAGTAATTCGCTATATCGGCCACCCGTTTGGAAAGCTCTGCGTGGCCTCAATTAATTTCGACCGAAGAAAGTAATCTGCCGCTCGTGGAATATTAATGGCGAGCGCCCCTCTGATGGAATTATCAGGGGAATGACGTTCTACAAATTATTGAACAGCCCTCGCAACCGAAGTTTCGGTTGCGAGGGCTTTACCCGAATTGTACCGCTTGTACAAGTTCATTGAATTCGTAACTTGACGTATAATTAAAGGATAACTGGTCGAGGAAGAACAGATGTATTTCTTGAAGATCACTTCCGCTCGGTTAAGTTATTGCCATTTTTATAGATAGCCCTTACGTATCGTTAACGTGGAATCTAGTAACATTGAAACTAGCTTATCTGGGTATATAGCGTGGGGTTCAACGACTCATGCTACAAGTACGTCACGTCTCGTTCGTGTCGAGTGTCTCGTCGCATGAATATGTACCTACCTGTACATATCAGAGTGTGGGCTCTCCCGCATGCGACGTGTGTCACCTTCTCCGGCTTTAATACTAAAGTGCAGAAATAAAATGTATTATCTGTGCCTCTGGTACAGTATTACTTTCGTTAATGTCCGACGTTGCTAATTATTGCTTACTCTTCACGCAGGAAGGTTTGCTGACGTGGTTCTTATGGCCGAGACCCAGCTGACCCCAATCGTTGCTGCCGAAAACGAAGAGTCTTCCACTTTCTGCAAAAAAGAATTCACCTTGATTATTCTAGTCACTTTGATCCGTCCGATATTGGAACAATTATTATTCCGAGATTTCAGTTCCACCGTGTATTTGTGTTCCACGTTTTACGCTGTTCCAAGCCTTACTCAGCTAAGTCTTTATTGTATCATATGTATAATAACATTTTTCAAATGACACGAGAATATAGTTTTTTGTTTAATTCTTGGGTTATTTAGGGGTCATAGGCAGTTGTCATAGGGGAAACTCAAGAATTTCTTTTTCAAAACTAAAATTTTATAATTGAAAACAGAGCGTGATTTCATGGTGCAATTATTCAACTTAATGTACAATTTTTTTTGTCAGGATATATTTAAAAGTTGGCGAGGTACAGCAATTCTCTAAAAAAGTTTTTCTTTTGCGATGACCACGATATCTCAAAAAGTATTTCACCGATCGGTTTCAAATTGTTAGGCTCATTCTACACATGGAGGACTGCTGAATGAAAGAAGGATTCTTTTTTTTCTATTAAAACTTGCCGTTTTATTAAGGAAAAACGAAAATGTTATATGACGAAAAAAGTGATTTTTCAGTAAAACCAGTGCCATTTTGGTAAAAATAGGAATTTCGAAAAATCCTTCATTTAGCAGTCCTCCACGTGTAAAATAAGCCCTAAAAATTCTAAGCCGATCGGTGAAATACTTTTCGAGATATCGTGGTCACCGCAAAAAAAAGAAAAAACAAAACTTTATCGGAGAATTTCTGTACCTCGCCAATTTTTTAAATATATCTTGAAAAAAAATGACATGTTAAGTTCAATAATTGTACTATGAAATCACGCTTTGTACTTTTAAAAAATGCAGTTTAGTTAAGAAAAGAAAATACTTGAATTTCGAATATGACAACTACATACAACTCCTTAAGGGGTTACACCACTTTGACGCACCCAAAAATTACGGTTTTTTCAAGAATTTTGTTTTAAGAGTTAAAACGTTTTTATCCAAATTAAAGTACAGTAAGGTATTATACTACTATTAAACTCGCTCACTGCGAAAATCGGTGATCGTGCGGTGGGCAGGTGTATAGGTAAAACGCGTTTTTTTTAAAACTGTATTTTAAAAATCGGTGGGCACTCTAGCTCCGCCAATTTTCAATAAATCGTCTCGATTCTTTTTTTATTTTATTCGTGATATGTTTACCTAGCGAAATACGTATGGTTTTTTCAATGTATTGATATTCGCATTTTTTATGCAACATTAATTAACGAAATTTAGAGCAAAATACGTATCTTTCCTTTCAAATCGATGCCATTTGTGAAAAATGCATATTTTTTAAAACGGCTACGTATCTCGCTAGCTTTTGGGCTACAGAAACTAATTCTTTTTAGTTTATTGTTCTAACTTAAACCTGGACTGAGTTATCGTGCCCACCGCACGATCATCGATTTTCGCAGCGCTCCGGTAAATCGCCTTTCAAGCCGCCATTTTTGTAAATAAGAAAAATACGAAAAAACATTTTTTTGTTTAATAGTAGTATAATACCTTACTGTACTTTAATTTGGATAAAAACGTTTTAATCCTTAAAAAAAAATTCTTGAAAAACCGTAATTTTTGGGTGGGTCAAAGTGGTGTAACCCCTTAATGAGAGTTTCCCTTGTATCCTTGAATCTTAAACCATCCCCTAAACAAGTTTCCGGTGGACCAGTTGGGGTTCTTAGGGGGTCAGAAATGTCTCGAAGGTACACGAATGTTCGCAACGGCTCTTAATCTCTTTGTTTAACTTCAAGTTCGGTAATTTACGAAGAACGGTTGAACATTAGTTCGAGCACGGCGTGTACTTATCGATTCGGTGGACAGTGGCTGTCCTATGCAGGTACAAGCATCTGGCACGGTGCGCTGCAGCAGCTGTAAATTATGCGAGCTTCGATCCCTATTTCGATACCGTTTCAAAATGAATACCCACCTCCTCAAGCAGTGGAAACATTTCTGATAGACTTATCGTTAGCGAAATTGAATATCAACCAGCGGGAAAAATAAAAATGCCACGCAGAGAATAATTCCCGTCCAGGAGACTAATTGCAGCCAGGAGGAGTGACCTAACGCTATTGTGGCTTCACGATAGACTCCTGTAAAAAGATCGATTGCCACGCTTGGTGCAAATCGTTACCACATTACTATTTTACAGAGAACATCGTGGACTGAATGATGACCTTCTTCGACTTTACTTCGCCGATTGGAAAATTTAACGAGACAGCTTCGTCCTCACCATAATACAAGGGGTTCGTAAATTATACTCCGTTTTATTACTTATTATTTCATTGCTCTTACTTTTCCGAGGTGGGAAATGATTTCTGACTACCTACCGCACACCACGGCCGAATGTTCGTCCCCGCAGGCGATTTTGATCACTGGATCTCTTCGAATAAAGAAGTGCGATGCCACATTGTCGGCGAATTGGCTGCGGCCGATGGTGAACACGGCTCCTGTGTCTGAGGAGAAAAAAAGAGGCTGATCAGGTTTGCTTCAATTTTTAAATAAGGTAGAAGGTGCAAGGATAATGCGTTAATCCTTTCTAACAGTGCCGACTTGGGTGATGGTTTCAGGAAAAGTGACAATTCACCATATGGTAATTAAACACTTTTTACAAAAAAAAAAACGATTAAAAATATTAAATTGTATGAGTTATTGAATTAAAAAACATAACGAAGGGAAGGAAGATGCAAGAATCTCGGAATAGGCGGTTCTTGAAGAATACTTCTTGTTACGTACAGTTTATGTCCTAGAGGATTTGTCGAGAGTAATTAAACTCTTGGAGTCCTCAGATAGAACGTTTAAAATACAGTGTATTAAGTATGATTCCAGGGAGAACTTTCCTTCGAGTCTGGGAACTCCAAAGAACGTTAACGATCCTTAGTTATCTCGCATCGCGACTCCTGGACGACCTCCATTAAGAAGGTGCGTGCTACTACACTCCCTGATTTTCTTTTAGGCAGAGAACGAAGTCGAGGTCGCGCAAGGAAAATCAATTCTTTCTTTCGCGTCTTGTGCGTTTTCTTTTATTTCAGTATGACCTTTCATTAGGGTCAAAGCACGCCTTGTGAGTGCTCAGAGAAGGGAATTTAGCGTGACACGTGCGGTGTCTTTACTCGCCATTCATATCTATAGAGGGTTTCTGGGGGTGTCCTTAAAGATGTGTTATCAAATAAATAATTCAAGGTCTAACGGTTGAGGTTTAAAGTGGTTAGTATATTGTAAAATGTATTTCGGTTACGGAACTATTTTTTTTACGGTCGAAAAAAAATTGGAGATAAAAGAATTTTAATATTTAAAAATGATAAACTCGCGGCGGCCGGAGGTTTCTTATTTTTAGTTTTCACGGTATACACGATTCCAGGTGAACGGTAAGTCTGAAATGAAAAGTTCAGGTGGTTTTAGAAACCAGAGTAAATTATTTGAGATCTTACGGCATGAGTTTTCAATGAGAAAGAAATTCAGGCCCGAATAAAAGAAAGCAAACGGAAATGATCTTTTCTTGCTTCTTAGAGTTTAATCGCCGACATTTTTTTAATAGAAATTTTCGTCAAGGATCCCTGCCATCGGTACTTAAATCATTTACTCCAGTATTTAATGCCATCTTAAATTTTTATTTCAAACTGGTTATTTTCCTGGAAGAAAAATATTTCTTATCCCCTTTCACTTTCTTTTGATCTCACTTTGATCAAAACGTATTTTACAATCTACTAGCCCCCCTAATCGCAGCCTTCCAGAAGGATTTAATTATTGCCTCGTATGCAGTTAATGCTCTTAAATTTATTGTCCTAGACACCACTCATTACTGCAAATTGCATGTCGCAGAACTCGAAGTATAGACTCAAGATAGAGTTCGTGCGGAACCACCTGTAGCCCTTAACCTTTGGTTCTCGTAGCATATACTTAACCTTAAAGTACCGTGTCATTTCTCAAGACAGAGCGCTGTCAATTACAATTAATGTAACTCAAGATGTTTGCGATATTATAGAGAATCATTGAATTAGTGTGCTCCGTGGAAGGAAGTCGGTTACTCGAGTATGCAAATTCCCTGTTGGACCATGAATCAAGTAAGCGTCCAAGATGCTTGTTGGCAAAGGTCAGTGATGTAAATCCTCCCGTATATCGTCCGGGTTCACGTTTGCTTTCTGCTTATCAAAAGTTCAAACGCTCTTATTGCATAATTCATTCAAGCATTCGTTGTTTAAGAGGGCAATGCATAATGAGTCCGATTACAAATGTACATGAAAAAAGGAACACGACGAATAATAACGGGTTCATAAATCTGAAACAGGAGGTAAGGTCTACCGTTGATGAAAGACCTGAAGATTTTCAGGAATACTTTAACAAACTCCATGGAGTAAGGAAATAACGAAATGTCACTGTCTTTACATGTTTTGTAACAAATTGTATCGGGTATAATAAACTGGAAGTGTTAACCAATCAGGATGTTTTATTTTACGTGTCCCTTTAAATAGATTTTGAAAATCGGCCTCGGGAGTGGATTAAATCTCGATATTGAGATATTTTTATTTCCGGTTATGAAAGTTATGAATAGCCGAAATATCAGAGATTGTTGGTTTAGGTACTGGGAACAAATTAAGGTATAGTGTTCATGGTTCCTCGCTTATTACGTTGTTATCAATTTTTCACCTATTTTTCAGGTCAGGAGTACTACATTACCTTACCTTGCCGTAGGTCAACGGCCTAAAAGGGAATTATTAATCGATAGTGAATACCTGAAATGTAATACGGGAACGGGAAGTGCAACAAAGGCCAATTCGTTACGAGATTTCTTTCTTTGCTTTCGAAGTAATCGTATCTTTTTTTTATGGTTGAAATTCTTGTAAGTGTTGAGGGCGAAGCAGTTTTTAGGTCACTTACGGGAATAGTGTCTAAGTATTTATTTATGTGCGGATTGAATATAGATTTTACCTGCATATATAAACACACGTAGATTACATTAGATAAATTTTAACGCGTCGTCGATTACGCATTTTTACACGCAGGGCCATTATTTTTCCTATATATAATTAAACACGCAAGACCCTGTGATTATAGATCTGGATAATTCGAAAACAGCTCGTTCAATAAAATAGAAGAATTTAGGATAACGTGAAAAACCAGCTGCAACGTATGTCCATAGACGTGAAAAAAGATAACAATTGGAAGTTTTTAAATAATTGAGTGGCATATGAATACTCGGAGCCCTTAAAATCGTTTTAACCCATATATAGAAGTACTAAAAAGAATGAAAGAAATGTAAATAACGCCTTAAATTTTTACGTAATTTGGAATTAATTTATTATGTAATTGTTTATCATAATAAATCGTATAATACTGAAAAATAAAGGTAGGTACCGTTTTACTGCCTCGTTAATTGCGGCGAAACCGGCTACCATAAAGAACATCAAATTAAAATGCCCGAAACCCAAATATTGTCCTATCTAGTTAAATGCTAATTACCGCGGTGGACAAATAAATTCGTTTATACTTATTAAAAGAAACTTTAACGAGCCCCTGTTAGTACACAAGGATAGAATAACCGGATCCCAACATTCAGCAAAACATACCTCTGCATGTTTATCAGACAAATATCCGCAAAACAGCCTCGGACAGATTATATATGTAACGAACGAATAAATTTCTCCGTTTGCAACGATTCTCCGAGAAATACGTATTAGTATTTGGCGCGAAACTCTACCGAGTTTCCTGGTACTAATTAACGTTTTATATTGTTTCTCATACAGCAAATCACGAGATTACCCGTAAACTAGATTTTCCAATTTTTTTTTTTCTAACTATTTGCATAGTTTCTTTATTACTTTTCCTAATTACTGCCAGGTATGTACGTGAAACCAAGTTTCGCCTCAAGTTTTAATAGTGGAAGTTTTGAGTGCATTCGCGGAAGCATCTCGAGAGAATCTATTTTTATACCCTGATTGTTAAGGGAGCTGTTGAGTTTGGGGATGATTTTCGAGAAATTAATGAAAATCGTGGTTACCCGGTATGTTGTCCAAGTCCGGTAGCCCCATGTTCGCACCTTGTGCCGCGCAACCTGCGAACTAACTACCGGCCCGGCGTGTACGCTTCCAACTTCAACTCTACGTTGCTTAGCAACTGGAAATCAATTCCGAACAGTTCCGAAGGGAAGTATGTCTGCGTTAAGAATGAGAACGAACATTCACGAGGTTCACCGCGACTCCTTTTCTGAGACATTTTCTTTACGAATAATTCCTAATTCCGCGAATTGTCGAATCGATTTCACGAAGCGCGGGTCGAAGAGAAGATTCAAACATTTGTCCGATAATTTCTTCATTTAAAAGTGAAAATTAAATGAAGATGTTTCGAGTAGGTTGTCGAGTGCGTATATTTCCTTCTTCTTTTATTATTGTTACTCAAGAGTATTCCTACAAAGGGAAATGATAGTTATTGTCCAGCATATCATTTCCAATTTCTCTTTTTTATAAAATGTATAATGTTTTTATTACGAGTTTCATCGATTATATTATGTTCCGTTATTGGAACTGCCCAGTAAGAGTGGTAAACGGATCTGAATTCATAACTTTTGTCAAATCATGTTTGGATTTGAAAATTATTCGGCGAGTTCGATAGTCTCGAAGCAACGTCGATTGTTCTCGAAAATGTCGCATGGAGCACTTGCATCGGAAGTTTCCAACGTTTTCTGCCCGCTGTCAATTTTCGTCAAAACTTCCTTTATTTTTCGCGAAAAGTTTAGCCGGTGGAAATTTATTAACTAAAAAGTGTTCAAAGGTTATAACAAAGAAGAATAAGAATTGTAACAGAATGCAATGATATTGACAGTTGTTGTATATAATCTAATTGGTCTTGGTATTCTAACCTCTCTTGGTTAATGGGAAATTTAAATCGACATATAATGCGATTTCTCGTCTGATTTCTCCTGCAACTGAATAATAAACGATATTTCTGTTGCTTTTGCGGTACAATGTAACGAAAACAATTGCGTGACTCCGACGTTTTAGGTGTAATTGTGATAACATAACCTCCAAAGTACTAGGGGTATTTCGAGAGCAGTGCATTGTTACTGCTATTGTTGCATTTAAAAATAAAAATAAGTAAAAGGAGAATTACGAGAAATAGGTGGGAGAATTATTGATTGAAATGAGTGAAGACAGTTCATATGTACAGAATAAGGAACGAGTTGAAGTTTCTTCTAACGATAATGCAGATCAGTGTCTTGATGACAAACTTAACGGTGACCAGTCTGGTGAGACTGTGAAATCAAAGACGAAGTATGAGGTTCCTACAAAAGTTATAAAGGAAAAACCTAAGGTACGGAGTAGAATAGATGAAGAACAAATCGAAGAATTTGATACCGATGATGAGGAAGAAGAAAAGAAAGATGAAGAAGAAGAAGAAGAAGAGCATACAGGTCGGTAGTAATTATCGCTGTGTCATTCTTAATTAAAGTATCTTATTAATGAGTTTGCTATTATTGTTCTGATACACTGCATGTATAAATTTCAGTAGTCGTTCGTATTAATGTATTATATATTTATCTTACAGGTTCTCAAAGTGATAAGCCATTAACTTGGAATGCTCAGCTAAATAAGTGGGTACCAAGCTCGGACAGTTCTACCTCACAAGCACCAGGAAATGAAGATGATCCTTCAAAGCATTATGAGTTTGACGGTCAAACCTATTTGTATACAGACAAAGTTAGTAATATAACATATAAATTTGACCAGGAGAAGAATGAATGGGTCGTGAAACAATCGGAGAGTTCTGGTACAAATACTCAAGATGTACAAGCAACTGGTCCTGCCGTAGCAGCACCTGGTGGTGTTTACGGCTTTGAGAATGACACTCATACATACACAGATCCAAGCGATGGAAGCATGTACATATGGGACCGAGAAAAGAGCGCTTGGTTTCCCAAGGTGAAGTACCAACCTTTTCTAAATCGAGTTTATTTCCAGAGTTACATGTTTCAACAATGTTGGAATCCTTCATCATTTTGAATTATATTTTAGGTGGACGAGGATTTTATGGCCAGGTATCAAATGGGATATGGCTTCACAGATCCAGAACAAGCTAAAAGTGCATCTCCACCAAGACCCGTGAAACCTGTCCTCTCGAAAGCAGAAAAGGAGGAAAAGAAAGCAGAAGCTAAAAGAAAAGCCCAGGAACCACCGACTTGGTTCGAAGTAGACGAAGCTCATAACACAGCAATCTATGTATCTGGTTTACCATTGGATATAACATTGGATGAACTCACAGAACTTTTCTCCAAGTGCGGACTCCTTGCACGGGACGAGAAGGGGAAAGACAAGATTAAATTGTACAGAGACGCACAGGGGGCGCCAAAAGGGGATGCATTGTGTACTTACATAAAGGTAAGTGGCAGCAGAAACGTATTCACCTATCTTGCACAAATGAAATTCTTTCGTACAAGTTATGTCTGCATTCTACATTGATTATTGTGTCTTATTAATACTCTGACATTTGGATACAGTGACGATGGTTCATTGAATTCGATATACAGTACAGTTACGTTAAGATACAATACATTTAAGTTAAATACATTCAAATGTAGGTGCAACAAATTTCAGTGGTTCGGCACCTTACACAGTATATATTTACAGGCATAGCAGTGTAAAAAGTAGTACATCAATGCGATTAAAGCTAGCTCGAAGTGCATTATAACTTAAAGGAAAATATTCGCAGACACGATAAGCTTTATGCTTGCAACGTTTACATTGAATTCCTGGCTTCACGAAAATGTAACAACCATTTAATTACAAGAGCATTAATCAATTATGAAATAATCGTTTTTAAGGGATGGGGGATATTTTCTCGGTTCGCTATTGTAACTAAGACAATTAAGAAGCTACCAATTTGCAGTTTCATCATCAACGAATAAGGTATTCAACAGATAACTTCTGTTTAACTTCATCCACTAAGTAATGTTATTCGTCGTTTCAAAGTTTGAGTAGAATGACATCTTAACGCTAAATTCGCCAAACGTATAGAGTATGCGCGATAAATAAATTATTTCAGTCTGTTCTTACTACTTAAAGTCTAAAGCTGCGCGGGTCGCGCACTTTTTCTTGGCAAAGGAATTCGAAAAGAAAATCCGCTGTCTCGGGGAGTTCTCTCTTCACGTTTTAAGTAATACTTCTTCCAACGACAGGTCGTTAATTTTCGCATGGAACTGCGACAGCTCGTTATTTCTGTCGGCCAGACTTTGCGATTGCTTATGGTTTGCTGGACCGTCTCCCAAATAAGCTCCATATTCCCGACCCTGGGGAATAATTTGGGAAACCCGAGGTACGGTGCTCTGAAGATACTTGTTGGCGTGACGCATCCTGTCGCTAGGTCTCGCTCCCGGTGCCAGTCTCACGCTGAAATTTCATTAGCATTGTCAAACAATTATTAACGACATTTTCTCACCAATTTGAGAATATAGGTAACTTACTTTGAGGGTGGTCGGGAGCCCAAGTTAACGCCATGGGACCATCCTTCGTTGGCGCTTTGTCGCATCCACTCTCGTCTCCACGCCTGTTGTTGTTTATTTCGACGGTGTTGTCTGATTTTCTGATTGTTATTAGGATTGTACTTCTTGCCGGTCTTCCGAGGCTTCATCCTTTGGTTCTGAGGCTCATCCACCAGTTTCTTACGTCGCTTCGCTGTGTTGGAAAGAGACAAGGAAGTTACATATAGAAGTCACAAGGAAGGGGTCGCCTATCCGGCTCAAGCTTATGTAGAGGACCCAAATGAAAGGATAAATTCCTAATAATCTGCAAAGAGAACGAGAGAAACATCCGTTAAACCTCGAGGCATCGCCCGAAGCACGTTGCTCGGATTCCACTGATTTCTGTACGAGTTTCCAAGGGGGAGGCAATTTAGTCGAGCAGTCGTAAATCTTCTTTACCTATACGTCCTGCCGGCACTTCGCAGATGTAGTGTTTCGGCTCCACGCAACTCCTGGGGCTCCACTTATACTTCAGAGCAGGGTCCATTATGATACAGTGCCACGCGTACTGCTTAGAGTTCCCAGGGTTCAGTTTGCTGAAGCTCTGGAAGACTATCTTCTCGCCGGAGACACCCCATTCCCAGGCCATTTGCTGCCAATTGAAGATACCGCCGATCCAGCGCTCCAGTTTGGCTGCAAAGACAGGAGCCTTTTGGTGATCATACCCTCGACATAGTTCCCCCAGCTCGGGCGCGATTTCGATTCCCCTTTCCGCTGAAAAGGCAGACTCGCGGTTTCTCAGTGATTGCCGAAGCTTCGCGTTATCCCGTAATGTGGATCAGATCAAAGGACTCTTATGTAATTCTAGAATCCAGCACCGGAACTTTGGAATCCTCTTGGGGATGGATTCCGTCCGCGATGCGGCGTCCTTTGGGACCTTGGTTAAACGAAAAGAGCCCTGAAATGGTCGATATGGATGTCCCGACTTACTGAATTGATCTCCCATCAGGTACTTCCTCAGGATCCTGTCCTTGCCGCCTTTGTCCAGGACCGCAAGCGTCGCGTTCCTGTCTTTACAGTGGAAGTGGGCCTCCCTCCAGGGCGCCGTACCGGCGCTCAAGTAATAACAGTTCCTCCGTAATCTGAAGAATCCCACGGGACACGCAAATCGTCGGATACCCTCGTTTCCTCTGCCGTTTCTTCCTCGGTGCCTGGGCGGTGGATTAACGCTGAAGCTTTGCGGCTCCACCACGGCCGAGGCGATCCCTACGAGCAAAAACCAAACGGAGTGTTACTTCGGAGTTGGATATTGTTGGGAAGTTTCTTCACGTGGCACGTGATACGTTAATCCGCGGTTTGCAACAGAAGGGATATCTCGCTGTTCGGCTCGAACTACCTCGACTTTTGACGTCGCCGTTTGACGTTCAACAAAGGCTGACCCGTTTAGCATCTCTTTAGGAAGTTCTTTTTTTAGGGGAAACAGGATGTCGCTTGACTTCCCCTCTTTTCTTTTATTGGAATGATGTCGTACTTGCCATCGCATTCAAGGACGTCGGCGATTTTACTGATTTATATGTTACATAATTAAGGGCAGATCGCACTAACCGTGAAGAAGCTTCGTTACGAAGGAGATCCAACTAGGATCGGTCAAAAAGAATGTCGAGTAACTGCGTTTTGTGGCGCACGTGGGCAACCGATGAATGCCGGCATTATCTGGAGGGAATATTTATCGAGCATTGTGTCCCAGTCGAATTCAATGTAATCATGCATCCGAAACGGGCACGGCGTCTGCTAAACACGCGGCTACACCCGAAACTCTTCCGTCACGCGTGAAGGCACATTACCGATTCGTGTTTATGTCACTGGCAGAAACAAGAGCGACGTTTGTCGAAGGTACAAGGAAAACATCCGACGTCCATTCTCTCCTAATTTTAAGGTGATCTGAAAGTGGCGTCGAAGAGGTTTTGTTTACAAAACTTTTCTCCCAACTCGGTTTACCGAATAGTTTGAAACGTTACAACGTAAATAGGGAGACTATAGGGAAGGTCCTGAAACTCATGAAATTTCAATTCTCTTCAAATTTGTTTATAGGTATTTAAAAAATAGTTTATAAAAAATGAAATTTCGCGAGTTTCAGGACATATCTTAGGGTCTCCATATTCACGTTTTAAAGTATGAAACGATTTGAGACACTCAGTTCGTAGAAAAGTTTTATGAACGATTGAGCTTTCGGATGCCACTTTCACATCCCCTTAACCCAACACGGGCTCAATTTCATTCGAAGATTTTCTCTCTGTTACAGTTCATAATTCGAGTATCCGGGGACGTAAAATATCGTGAAAATATGAATTACCGTAGGAGAAGGTTTACACGTTCGAGGATGGCGAAGATGTATGATTAGAAATTCGAGCAGGTCACTTTTATCACGATCGAAGTCCCATGACAACATGGCCGCCTCCGTACTCGAATAGAAGGAAGCCTGAACCCTGATGCTTTATTAATTTCTCGACCTGGTTTAGCCGGCGTCATTAATAATTAGGACCCCCTTTGTCGAGAGGAGATAGAGGATTTAGCTGACCAGAGAGAATATGGACTCTCGTCGTTACGGTTTGAGGAGAACTTCACGAAGCAAACGTTTATCAGCCGACCGGAGATACCGCGTTTCGGCAATCGAGCGATTCGGTTTAAACATTCGGAACTCTCCCATCGCCGAAGCCGAACAACATTCGGATAGTTAAATGAGCTAAAGTTGTTTCCGCGCTTTGAAACTTCATCCGGCCGACTCGATTAATCACTTTTTACCCCGTAACGCTCTCGCCGACATAAGGGCATTTCGCCGGAGCGTTATCGCGTTATCACGCTATCCGGACGGCCGTGATCCCAGTAATTCAGTTACTTATTCCCTTTCCGGCTATTCTAATCGGCTTCCACATATGTACATTCCCATTTCTTGTCCCCCGATCATTCGATCTTGCATTCTGAGCCCGTTACCGCCACCGATTACGCATACGTCTCGTCCCTTACCGGTTTGTCGCTATTCACCAGACGAGCGACCATTACGAGGCTGACAAACGTGCGAACGCGAGAGAAATGTGCAACGTGGGTCAAACACATCTTAAGTAAGCCTAACAGTCTCTGGAATTTTATCAATAGGTCCCGCCGCTTATACATCACAAGAGAAATTTACGGCCCCCGTCGTTGCCTCGTCTCCTTGTCATTTAATCGAACGCCAATAAGGGTCGACAATAAATGCGTCCCGACGCTCCTCTCGAACCTATGACCGAGTTTCATTTAACCGCGGTATTAATTCCTCCATTATTTCATATCTCACCCCTCGCCATGTCGACAGGTCGAGGAAGAGGTCCCGATATCTCGGAAAACTCGCCCCCTCGTATTGAGTTACCTCGTCGAGACTTGTTCCGGCATTTCGTGATAGCGGGATATCAGAGGCGCGAGTACTCCTTTTACTCTGCGCCTCCCCGAAACTTCGGAGTCTAAGGTAAACACGCGGAGGGGACGTATTTCAGGGGAAATAGAAAGAAGATGGAATCCCGAGGAAGTTTTTGCCGCTGTCGGGAATGTTTTCTAGGGGGGGAAAAAAGAAAGAAGAAAAAATCTAGGAAAAGTACAAGGCGCCTCATCGGACGAGGAAGTTTCGAAGAACTCCAGAAATTCGAATCTTGGCCCCGAGGAAGTCGCGTCGAGGTCGCATCAAGGATCGCGAATGATTCGAGTCTTGCGAATGCCGCTCGCGAAGAATAATTCCCCCTCCCCCCCCGAGTTGAATCGCAATTTCTATCGCTCGATTGATTTCGAGCACCTCTCGTAAAACCGACGTTCAATCTGGTCCAATGATTCTCCCGCGATATCTGCCGCGATGACATCAGCTCTCGGCACGCATCCGTGCCCTCTGCGTGCGTCGACGCATAAACGCGCGTTTATGGGCCGCGCTATTGCGCGGCATGCAATTTCGGAGCATTCGCATGCCACCGAGAATTAAGCGCCCGTCAAAATGTGTCACCGTATCCAAGATCGGAGAAGAGACACGGGGGGAAATATTCGGTCGTAATGAAGGATTCCACTTGGTTCGGCGTAAACGCTTGAAAATGGGCCAGGGAAATTCTGAGAAATACTATTGCCTCGTGTACGAGAAAACGCGACACAGATTATATTTGCGGTGGTAATAGTTTTTAACGGCGTTCACCACCAAGTAAGGACGATGACTTCCACCGCTAGATGGCATTAGCATCGAATTCGGTGGGAGGTAACTAAGACGTATTTTCTTTTTCGGATGAGGGAGACGCGACGCATAATGGGCAGTGTTTAGCAACGAGCGAAAAATGTGTGCGTATTTTGCACGTACATAACTCACACAACGGCTAGACGCCTCTGGACTAGGCGCCGAAACGTGGGTGACACTCGGCCGCACGCACACGCAAGTTGGACGCTCCGCCTAGAGTCGGCAACGGTTGCTAAGGAATGCCCAAATTCCTCGCGAGAAACTTGAAAATCCTGAAAAAGGTGCTCCACGGGGACAACGATTTTGAGCGTATTTCTCAACCGATTGAGCTCAACGAGTGCTCGTTTTAAAGATAAAATGTTGACGTGTGTTTATATGGGAGCGATTTTCGATCAAACACCTCCTTCCTAGGTAAAAGGACATTGAAATTATGTCGTTGCACTTTTTTATATGATAATGACCACTTATCGAAAATCGCTCCCATATAAACACAGGTCAACATTTCATCTTCGATATGAGCACTCGTTAAGCTCGATCGGTTTAGAAATACGTTCGGAATCGTTGTCCGTGAGGCCCTGCAAAATCGCTGGAGTGGTGAGCGCCCTTAATAGAGGGTAAATACGTTGCATCGTTTGGTTGATCAAGCAGGGAGGACAATACCCGGGTCGCCGTTGCGCAGAAATTTCTTTGATGATTTAGGAAGGATTTCTTTTTGTATAGGAAGCTCTCCTACGGTGATAAATACTTATGCGAATTTACATACTCAGTCACTGATTATTTTGATGCCACGATAATTCCAGTAAAGTTACATTGTCTCTGTAGTGTCACATTCGGCATCTTAGTTAAGTTAAAGAAAATGATAATGTGACGTTACGTCTAATTCAAGTAAAAATGCACTAGGTGTATTTACATATCTTATATGTCGTATTTTTTTAATTTAACGTTTTACTATGTGTAACTTCAGGTATGAGGGGCGTAAAAATGTATGTAAACTTCCATGGATTTTTATCAGTGGATGCTCCTTTATGATGGATTTCATGTAAGAGGTACAACCTTGAAGAGAAGGGGGGTCGCTTATGAATACAAGTGCATAAAAGCGTGTACACGTGTTGCTCCATTACGTATCGTACTGTTTAAAAGCCTGGGAATTTAAGTGGTCGTCAAAATGTGTCACCGAGGGGAAAATCTGCCAAGGAACACGCAGTGAATTCCGCTTGCGAGGAATCTAGGTGGATGATCCTTTACGGGATCCCCCGTAACGGCACCAGCTCCTCATCGCAGACGGGGGTCGCGTACGAGTGCCGGTGCATAAATGCGCCTCTATGGGGTGCTCGATTGCGCGGAATACAGTTTGCGAGCGTTCGCATGTCGTGCCCCTCCTCGTCTTCGTCCCGGACGCGCATTCAATGCAAATCTAACTGGATAGCAATACGGCCGGTGAGATACGCTTATTGATTTACGTGGTATCCTAATAAATAAGCGGACTCACGATGCGCGGGATTTTGCCGCGTACGTAACTCGTACCTACGGTATCCCGTGCCCTTTCCTCCACCTTTTCGCCTGACCTTATTTCCGCTTTCATTCCGCGTTTCCCCAGCGAGGGCCGTTCCCTGAATTTCCATTCGCCGGGTGTTCCGCCCCATTTCCGGGGGGGATTTTCGGGTTCCTGGCCCACATTTGCGCTCCTTTTGTCTACCTTTCACCTTACTTCTCTCATTTCACCTGACCATCCCTCATCAACGCTCCATTATCAGCTCCTAGGTGAAGGCTTTATCCTTTGGGCTAATTACTCCGAATTTTGTGCGGTTCGTTCTCCGGAATTTTCGGGATCACTCGTGGATTTTCCTCGTCTGGCTTCCTCGAATGTGGAAGCCTGCTGGTGAACGTTTCGTGTGCGCGTGCATCGGTACCGACGATATTGTTACACGGTAGTCGGCTGTTTCTGCGCTTCTGGTATTGGAACTTGTCGAAAAACTCTCTGGAGAGCATCTCTTGGGGTGTATTTATACCTCGACGAGCCCGCGGT